ATCAGCGGATCGAGTATTGATCCTTGGGGCACACCTGCAAGAATTCTTCCATCTCAGAAATCTCAGATACCTGTTTTACAGCGAAAAATCTCTCCTTAAGGTATGAATGTATAATCAGATAATAGGCCTGGGGTAAAAATAATATTAATTTGTGTTATAATGCCTCATGCCATACTTAGTCGAAGGCCTGAGAAACATCTAGAAACACTCGCGTGTAGTTTCTGCTCGAGACATTAAGTAATGAAATCTGTAATTCTGTGAAATTGATGGAATGATGAGTTCGAAAGCCCAGTTGTTGGTCTGGTAAGATGTTTGAAGTAGCAATAGAATCTTTTGTAAATTAAGTTTTCGAATAATTTAGAAGGAACGGGTAACAAACTAATCGGATGATAAGATGATGGGGAGCTTAAACTTTTATGAGGCTTTGGGATCATTTTAATGTAAGAAAGTTTCCAATGCATGGGGAAAGTGTGTAGTTCCCAAAATTGCTTTAAAAAAAGTAGTCAGAAATAAGACGGCTTTCTTGGGAAGTTCTTGAAGAACTTTAGCTGTTATCAAATCATGACCAGGTGATTTTTTTTACTAAGTTGTCTTATTTCTTGTGATCTTGTTTTGAAGTTATTGGTTTAGGTGGCAGATCTAGAGGTATAGGTGTCATAAGTGAAACTGCTATAAATTATTGTGTTTAATATCGATTAAGTTATGACGTTTGAATACCTCGGAGAGATGATTCGCAAATGTTTTGTACTATTTTTGTCAGAAATGATCTAAGGAATATTATGTAAGTAATTAATTATCTAAGTACCCTTATCATTCCGCGAGGAGCTGAGACCGCTATGACGTAGGCTAATACGCCAGAGGCTCCCATCCTCTCTAGACAAGCTTTTTAAATGTGTTCGTATGATTGTTATTTAAATTGTTTTATTTCTTTTTCAATCTATTCAAAAGTTAAACTATTTTTTTGTCAATGACAGATCTTGTACGCTGTGAAAAGTTTCTAGCTCTTCTTTTTAGAACATTAGGTGCTTTAAATAGAGAGGATAATTTGGAAGATTTTCATTTTGAGTGTGAGACAAAGAAGATTCCCTCCCTGCATTTTTTTTTTAATAGATCAACCGTGTTTAAAATTAAATTCATTATCTTTCTACATTACATACAGGAATTAGAGTCTATTGTAGTCAAAATAATAAACAGTAAATAATGCTTTCTTTTCTCCTTTATTTATTTTTGTACTGATTAATCCATTTGCACAAAACGTAGCGTTGTGTCCTTCCATTCTGCTCCGCATAAAGATCGCTTTCAGTTAATAGTTTTCCTTCGTTAATTTTATTTCATATTATTCTTATTCTTAAACCTTTTTCAAAGGCTCCAGTTAGGAATTTGGGTGAAAATGACAGTGTCAGGGTTATTATTGGAGAAAAGATACATCAGGGCAAAGTCGCCAGGAGAAGGAAGGTAAATCACTCTAAAATAGGAAGAGTTCTTCGCGCTTCAGAGAAACAAGGCTTCACATCAAAAGGCCAGTACTAGGTCCACCTAGGTCGACAGATGTGAGAGACGATCGATTCATCCGTCGTCAGGCTCTACGAAACTGCAGCATTACAAGAAATGAGATAAGAATACTGATAAGTCCGAAATATTTCGATGTCCTCCAGAACTAAGAAGAATTTATTTATTTAGAAATCGTGAGATGCGGTCTCGTGTGATGTAGGTTTCAGAAAAACATTTTCTTTATCGTACCAACGTTTCGATCTTTATTGAGATCATCTTCAGGTCTCAAAGTGTTTGTCTTCTGTGTAATTGGGCCATTCTTGCGTGTCGTGTCGAGAGTGCTAATCACCACACACTAAGAAGAATGCTCAATGAAACCTCAGGACCCACATCAAACCCATGTCTAATTTTCTTTCGTGTATAAAGTATCCACCACTTTTTCATTTAGGAACATTCTGGATCAAGGTATGATCTTGAAAAAGAAAGCAAATTTAGTAGCTAATGCCAAGCTTTCGGCGTATTTTAAGGTCATCATGAAGGCAAAACAATCTTAAATATGTATACAGATTGACATATTTAAGTTTTTTATAATGATGAAGTATGATGGTGATCTCAAATTTCTTTGAAAAACGATTCAGTCCCAATATTGCCAAGGACTGTTCAAAAAATCAATGTTTAGACAGATTTAAGATTGTTTTGACCTCATTATGATATTAATGTAGGTCGAAAGGTTGGCATTACCAACTAAATTTGCTTACTTCTTCTTCAAGACCATTCCTTGATCCAGAGTGTACGAATGTATACAAACACTTTGAGCCCTGAAGATGATCTCAATAAACATCGAAACGTTGGCAAGAAAAAAAAAATGTTTTTCTAAAACCTACATCACACCAGACCGCTTCTCACGATCTCCGAATAATCATATAAGATAATATTATATCGTATGGCTACTTGAAAATATTTTTAGCACTGCCATCAAATCATCGTTTGTAAACATTTTTGGTAAAAATGTATTTCCTTAATAATTTGAGCGTTTATAAAACTTAATACTTGGCATTTTACAAATTAAATATCAAAACCGACCAACTTATCGTAATTTAAACTGTAACTTTAACTTGTAATATTTTGTTTTATGGAAATATTACATAAATTGTTTTTAACATATGATTTATAAAGATTATATATATTTTTTAAAGTAGAACATGTAGTGCTAAACCTGTTAAACACAAGGAAAAGAGAGGATTTAAATTTTGAGATGAACCGACTGTTTTTAAAAAAGAATAATTGGGATCAGTGTCCACCCTAGTCCAAATGACTGTGTCCACAGCGATGTCGACCACAATGCCGATGAGTGTGAACCCACCAGGTGAAAGGGAGCAGGCGAAAGGTGATCCTTTGAAAATGTAACCCGGTTTATAATTCCCGCTTCTAATCCTCCAACACAGTTCGTGTTCTTTCTTCAAAGATGATTTCAAATACTTGCAATAATCCTCTAGCCATCTGTGTTTGCAGTAAGATTCTAGGCAGTCTTTGGCCGCCTCTAGATCCAGGATGTTAAGTTTGGACCCGCCGATGACCACGGTAAAGCAGTCGTAGACTTTCATATCGCCTTCAAAAACGGGAAAAAAGAAAGGGGTTTGTTTATTCATGTCGAAGATCCCGTCTATCTTCCATCCGCTGATGTCGTTGTTGTACAACTCCTCATTCCATTCGCTCGGCCTGCAATGGGGATTAACGACGGCTTTGTCTATATAGTAAGTCTGCTCTGTCACCTGGGACTTGAGCGAAAGCTCGTATACGTCGACTATTGAAAACTCATAGAAATCATTGACTTTCTTGAACTCGCCGATGCACTTGCAAGCGGTTATGACCATGTCTATCGAGACTATTGAAGCGATACAGTGCTCAACTTTCTTCCGGGTCTGGTACACTGTCATCGTTTCTTTGAACTGGTAATTATGGGCTACTATCAAGTTACACAAAATCTCTGCCAATATCAAATAAAATAAAACAATTTTCAACATTACTACAGAGATTAATTTTGTAAAAATGTAATAAAATTTTAAAGAGGAACAGCTGGTGTTTTAAATTGATGTACGTATATTCATTTTTATATACATTTTTTTTCTCCAAAAAAGTCGTTTAAGCATCAAAGTTGAATGTTACTTTATGGTCTACTGAGGAAATAGAGAGAAAAAAGAAAAAGAGAGAGGGGGAGAGAGAGAGAAGGAGGGATATAGAGCGAGAGCGGCCGAAATGGAAAGAGAGAAAGATAGAGAGAGAAACGGGGAAGAGAGATAGACAGTGGCAGAGTGTGAGAGAGGGAGAAGAGAGAAAGTAAAAAATAAATGTGCGAGTAAAGAGTGTGGGATAGATAAATAAATAGACTAATTAAACAAAGAAATAAATTTAGATAATTAGAGATAGAAAGAGAGGAATGCAAACTTAAATATTTCTAAGTAGTGGAATATTTTTTGATAATCTGTCAATAGCGAAATACAAGATATGTATATCGTATGGTTACTTTTGTTATTTTATTAAATCACCGTTTGTAAACAAGTCCTGTGGAGGAGACAAGCATGGGAGCGGGGATTGGGTGGGAGTGATAGAGACAGAAATATATAGATAAATAGTTAGATAGCTAGACAGAGAGAGAAGAGACAGAAGAAATCGAGTGTGAATGAGAGTGAGAGGGGAGAGAGAAGAGAGAGAGAGAGAGAAGGATAATAGAAAGAGAGAGAGAGTGTTTTTAGTCAAGCCTGTACTTTCGTTTTAAGCAAAGAACTTATCAAGTAACTCAAACAGAGAGAATAAAGTAAAAAATCAGCGTATTTGAAGAATATTTCCAGGTGATTTTGTCTTCAAAATAGGTGGAAACGTTATTATTGGAAACGCTTTCTCAAAATAATTTTGTTTGTTAAAACCAATTATTTCCTGTTTTATTTTTCCTTAATATACCACGATTTCGTTGCTAGAGGTTTTCAAAAATAGTGATTAGTAAATTTTCAGCAACTGTCTAAATTTGTGAAAAAATTTTACTATAAAACATGTTCCTCCGATCATAAGCATTTTTTAATACCTATTGCTCGATAAAATTCAAAACGTCGAATGTTTCCTGTTCCGCCCAATTTAGTAGTAGTTAGTTGTTTGGAAGTAGGAAGTTGATAAACTATGTTTAAGTTGAAAATGTAACGTTTCAGTCAGAATAAATTTACATAAAACTTTCAAACAGGCGAGATGCAAATTCAGTAAGATGCACAATTCACCACTTTCAAATAATTATTATATCTTTTGAAACTTTACCATCTATTTATTTTTTTAATGATCCTATATTTTAACTTTAAAGTCTTTCTACATCTTTATCTTAAATACACATCTTAAGAGAGAAAAATTAACCCTGAGGTTTTGTAATAGGAAGTGTAAGTGTTTAATGGCATAAAATTAACTTCACTCTGCATAAAATCATCCCTTCTCCTATAATTTACAGAGTTTTACTAATTTAAAGTTACCTGTCTGAGACCCAAGTGCCGGGCATCGGCGGAGGAAATTGGATCTCGGTCATTTTGTCCGTCTGGGCGACTTTCTGCACCACTTCGTCGCAGGTCGGGCTCGTTCCTTAAAAAAGAAATTCCTAATTTAAAACAAAGGTATGAAACGATCAAATAAGAAAAATAAAAACTTGTGTACAAGTAAATAAAGATTTTGTGATAAATATTGTCAGAGTTAAATTCATCACTATCTTTAATAGATGTTTATTGTTCTATAATGTACATTCTTGAATTCAGACAATGCCTGCACACAATATATAAAATACGTAAAACCTCATTTTTTCTTCTTAACAAACTGTTTGTTGCATAACAAATTTTCTCCATCCACAATCTTTTTTATAGCCCTAACAGCAATATCAGGAAGAAAAGATCTCGGAAGCTTCACACATTTAATATTCCATTTTTTCACAGCTTTTACAAGGATTTAAATATAAAGAATTCAAAAATCTTTAGATATTTTATTAATGAGCAGTATTAGTAGTCTTCTTTTGAATATTCAAATATTAACCCCCAATCTTCTCGATTTATATGTGCACAACAAATAAAAGATAAGATACTTGGAATAATGCAGTATACAAACATATTTATAAGAATTTGTACGCTAAGAAAATACTCTAATTAATCTGAATGTGCCATGGGAACGACTGTACCATATGCAATATGAAATAGCCTAGATCGGGAGCAGATTGAAGAAGAAGAAGGCTAGAAGATCGAAATAAATATTTAAAGTAGGTATTTACGTTATAATTATGTAGGATATTTTGTTTTAAGTGATACTTAATTATAATTAATAACTAATAAATTATATTTAATGTTGGTTATTTACTTCTATGTTAAGATAAATTACAATTAATTAAGGTTTTTAGTTGAGATAAAAAAGTCAATGGCACGAGCGGGATTCGAACCCACGATCTTCGGCTAGTTACGCCGCTGCTATACCACTTGAGCTATCGTGACCTCGATCCACTCGGACACTAACTTCCCATCTCAACCTCACCTTTTGAATTTCCCTCCTTTTTGCCATTTTTAAAATGTCATGTAACCGGATTGGATTCTCGACGACAAATGAAATGGCCACGGAGAGCTTTAGTGAAGTATACTTCATTTTAAATCATTAAATTCACTAATTTCATGGTCCGCTTGACAAATGAATATATTACAATTAAATAAGGTTTTTAGTTGAAATAAAACTTTGTCGTCGAGAATCCAATCCGATTACATGACATTTGAAAAATGGCAAAAAGGAGGGAAAATTCAAAAAGGTGGGGTTGAGATGGGAAGCTAGTGTCCGAGTGGATCGAGGTCACGATAGCTCAAGTGGTAAAGCAGCGGCATATCTAGCCGAAGATCGCGGGTTCGAATCCCGCTCGTGCCATTGACTTTTTTATCTCAACTAAAAACCTTAATTAATTGTAATATATTAATTGGTCAAGCGGACCACGAAATTAGTGAAGTTAAGATAAATATTGCGTTTTTGTTCAAAGTAACGCTTTTTATACTACAAATTAGCCTCTTTTAAAATCAATTAACTTTTTCATTTCAAATTAACTCTTGCTTTACAGCAATAAAAACATAGTGATGTAAAATAAAATTCCCGCATATTTGCACATTTTTATAGAAGCCATAGAACAAAATATTACAATTAATATTAAAAATTAAGTTAAAAAATATTTTCGTTGGTGATTTATTTAAAATTTAAAATGGGAACTTATAGAAAATACCTTGGGAAAAATACTTCAAATTAAAAGCCAAAGTTTAAAGTGAAATATAAAACTAAAGGACTCTTCTGTTTTTAATATAAAATTGGTTCTAATCTAAAATAATTACCCCATGAAAATGAATTATAATTAACATTAATGGTTATAAAATATCAATCATAAAGACAGATCAATTAAAATCAATCAATCAATCCAAAATTACCCGTTTTAATTTGAAATTAATCATTTTCAACTTGAAATTAACCCTTTTAAATTGAAATTATCCTTTTTTACCTTCAATTTATCCATTTTTAACATTGATTTAACATTTTTTAAATTTCACATTAACTTTAAATTAACACTTATTAATTTTCAATTAACCAGATTTGTTAAATATAAATTTATTGGGTTCTTATAGCTTAATACAGTTAAATTAACTCTTTTTTGTTTGAAATTAACCATTTTCTCACCAAATTAACTCTTGTTAATTTCAATTATTTTAACTTCAAATTTCCTTTTTTTTTCAAATTTACCCTTTTTAAAGCATTAAGAAATTGGAAGATGTTATGACAAATGTTTATGTATGTAAAGTAAAATTCCTTTATATTTGCGAATTTTTGTTTAATAATAAAATAATTGGGCTCTTAGTTAACTTAAGATTTACTTTAATAAGTAAGGTTACTTTAATTATAATTAAAATTTAAAATTATATACACTTAAATATTACAAAATTCATCTTCTAATAATTCGAGATTCGTTCAAAAATATAATATACTCGGTTTAAAAAAAAATTATATTACATTTAAAAGTCTAAAAAAATTCTATTTAATTTGATTTAACTTTTAATTTTAATTGTATTTCATTTTCACTTCTCTTTCACACGTAAGTTATTACTATTATATTCCTCATAACGGTTACTTTTTATAAACAGTTTCTTCTTCTAGTTTTGTTGAAAGTATAGCAGTAGTTGCCTCTGATATGGCATCAGTGGAGCAATGCGTAAATAATAAATCAAAAGGATTCGTTTTTTCCTTTCAATTATTTTCAGAGTTGGAGAAATTTCTCAGAATTTTATTTCATCTCTGCTGAAAGCATTACTAGGTATTATTTAAACAGATAAAATAAAAACATTAATGAATTTTCAAAGAAAACAAAATCACATTCAAGCTTTGCCTTTTATCTAAATTGCAGCTATCCTAGGAATGGATTTAGATCGGGTAGGTTTTTGTTTAGGAGGTTAACTCTCTGCCTATTATCAGTTACCTTGATCCTCTAATTTGTTTCAAATCATTCATCAAATAATTAAAGAAATTATAACCTTTGATCCCATACCCCCTTATTTTGTGGCAATTATGACTAATGATTCGACAGCCAATTTGTAAAGGATTTTACCAATATTCACTCTTTTTCATTAATCTTCCTTTCAAGCTGTAGATAATTAATGTCTACAGACTACTAACAGTAACAATCTCGTTTCTCATAGGTTTAAAAAAAAGTGTTTAAAGTGAAATACAATGACCCCAAACGCTACAGAAAATAAACCGCTTTTATTGTACAGATAAATAAAATCTAACAAGTTTATAAAGTATGTATGTTTTCTCTTACCGATTTTTTGTATTATTCTAATTACTTTATATATGTAAAAAAATCAATTAAAAAAAGATAAAAGGTATGCCTAAATTTTGTTCAGATAGATTAATCAAAGCGGAACATTAAATAATTTTAATAATTATTACATAAAATATTATTAAGATAATCCATTACAGTTCGTGGTCCGATAGACCAATTAACATTTTTCAATTAATTAGTATTTATGAAAGGTATTGGTTAAGATAAAAAGTCAGTATCACGAGCGGGATTCCAACCCACGACCTTCGGCTAAATACGCCGCTGTTCTACCACTTGAACTATCGTGACTTCGATCCACTCGGACACCAACATCCCATCTCAACCCACCTTTCGAATTTTCCCTCCTTTTAGCCATTTTTCAAATGTCGGGTAATCTATTTGATTCTCGGCGACAAATGAAACGGCCACGGAGAGCTTTAGTGAAAATATACTTCATTTTAACTTATTAAATTCACTATTTTTCGTGGGCCCCTTGACCAATTAATATCTTTCAATTAATTAAGGTTTTTAGTTGAGATAAAAAAGTCAATGGCACGAGCGGGATTCGAACCCACAACCCTCGGCAAGATACGCCGCTGCTCTACCACTTGAGCTATCGTGACTTCGATCCGCTCGGACACTAACTTCCCACTTCAACCTCTCCTCATGAATTTTCCCTCCTTTTTTGCCATTTTTTTTTTCTATTTGATTCTCGGTGACAAATGAAGTCACAATAGCTCAAGTGGTAGAGTAGCGGCGTATTTAGCCGAAGGTCGTGGGTTCGAATCCCGCTCGTGACACTGACTTTTTATCTTAACCAATACCTTTCATAAATATTAAGTGTTAAGATAGTTGTTATATTAATTCAATTCTGCAAATCTGTCAATTTCCTAATAAAAGCGGTATAGAATGAAATAAAAATTCTCTTCTTTAACTTTTTCCCCTTGAAATGTTGATATTCTGCAACCAGCTATAAAAAAATATACCTGCATCGTTTTTACACTTTGGATTATTGAAGTCGAAAGTTTGGGAAAATTCCGTGATGAATAAAAGCGAAAGGATAAAAAACCACGTAATTTTAAGAAGTCTCAAATCCCGACGAAGAGATGATTCAAACTAAGTTCATTGCATTAAAAAGTCCATGGAAACGGCCACACCTGCCATTGTGGATTAATTCCTTATTTGCATTAACCCCTATCGAGTCGGATTTAAAGCTATTCCCGTTTCCTAATACTTGCGTAAAACCTTTTCATCAAAAGAAGCCTATATAAACTAATTTGTCATAAAGATGTGATTATTTGCAGACTGAATACAATTTGGTAATAATTGTTTAGTTGACGTTCAACACACGTTTTCTAGTTTCTAAGTGAAATCCTTCAGAAAATGTACCATTACAGGAAAAAACACTATGGTCGGAATCTGGCCGGCCAAGGGGATAAGCGGGTAACGACGCTAGCTCTCTCTATTTTTCCTTGTCAAACGCTAACGATGTTTATTTCCTGAACAAACGAGTTTATTTTACTTTTAATTAATTTTTTCTAGATAAAGCTCAAAGTTAACATCCCTTCAAAATGAAACGTGATCGATTTGTTAATCACTTCTAGTTAGTGCACATAGTTTGCATAAAAGCTGCTAAGGATCAACTTTTTTGTAAATATCAACTATTTACCGTTAATCTGAAACATACGATTGAGAGAATAACACTAATGATTCCTGTATTCGGGCAAAAGACGTCAAGGGTATAAGCAGGGAGAGGCAAGAC